AGTGAAAATACGGGGACACAAACTAGGCGGGGTTCTAAATTTAAAGGTCATTTTAAAATTGATTTTGGTCTTGCCCCTTTGATGGACTTTTGTGAGGGGAAAATTTCATATTTCCCGCCCTTTTGCCCCCCTTTTCCCCTTGATACCCCCCCCCCTTTAACCCCTTCCCTCTTTGATGCCTCCCAAACCTTGACCCCTTTCCCCCTTGACCCCTCCCCTGACCCCTTTTCCTCTTGTTTCCCTCCTCCCTCCCCCCCTTTCCCAAAATCCCCCTTGCCCTTTTCCCTCTCCCCCCTCCCCACCTACCCCCTTGACCCCTCCCTTCATACCTTCGCCTTGATACCTTCCCCGGGACCCCTTTGGGTTTCCTTCCTCCTTTATCCTTCGTTTTTTTGTTACCCCCCCCTTTGATTCCGCCCCCCTCTCCCCAAAACCCTTGTTTTTCCCGTCTCCAACCCTCCCTTTACACTTCCAATCCCCCCCCTTTTTCCCCCCTTTTAAACCACCCCTTTTTCCTTTTTAAAAACCCATCCCCTTTTCCCCTCAAAAACCCCTTTCCCTTTCCCCCCCTTTCTCATCCCCTCCCCCCTCTAGGCCTCCGGTCCCCCGCCCTTATTGTTTGGATTTTAAAATTTAATGTTAATATATGGAAGCTGTAGGGGATTTTGTTGTATCGGGGGGGACCCTCGGGGTTTTTGCATCTTCACCCTCGGGTTTTTGGTGTTAAAAAAAAAATTAATGCAGAGAGAGAAAAAGGGGAGAGAGAGAGAGAGGAGAGAGAGAGAGAGAGAGAGAAAAGGGGGAGAGAGGAGAGAGGAGAGAGAGAGAGAGGGGAAAAAGACCCAACTTCATCTGGCTGTACCCTTCTCCAGAACATCACTCTCGAATCCTATATCCCCGGATGACTCGAGTAGGGAAAAAAAATTCGTACACCCATAATGATGTCAACAAAGTTTAAAGTCAGTTGAATAAAATAAAAAGGTCCCCAAAAGATGGCTCCAATTTCCCTCTTTTCCCCTTAATTGTATGTTCAAAACAAAAAAAATGCTTTGAAATGAGCTAAATTTTGGGAAACCCGCTCTTAGCTTGCCAAATAAAGTTAGGAACCCTTAAACCCTGTAAATAGTTTTCCCCAAAAAACCCCTAGGGACCCTTTAAACCCTTGTAAACCATGTTTTAAAAAAAAAAAAAGGAGAGAGAGAAAAAGAGAAAAAGGGCAAGAAAAAAAAAAAGCATAATACCAATTTTGGGTTTAAAAGGCCTTAATTTAAATTTTTATAAAACCCCAATTTTTAACTTAAAATTTTATACCCCCGAAAAATGCTCTGTCAGGGCCAGGCTGGGGAGTAGGCTTTTACTCTCGCACAGGTCACAGGTAAAGTCACGTTGAAATCAGCAGGCAGGGGACAGGGGAGTCGAGAACCCAAAAAAAACCCCCCACCCGGCCGGGGAAAAATTAAACCTTCGAAGGGGCCCTTTCCCTTTCCCTTTTCCCCCTGCCCTGTGACCCCTGTGGTAGGGGTTTCCTCTGATAGGGGAAAGGGGGGGGTTAGGTTTTTTCTGCCCCGGAAAAGTTTGCGGGATGAAGGGTGAAATGCGCCCTGCTGGTTGTCAACTGCTCTTTGCACCCCATAGACTGCCTTGACTTTCGCTTTTTTACCTTTCCATCTCGGGTGGCTCCCAAACCACCCCGTGGTGTCCCTGGGTCCAACCCACGTGGCTGGTCCCTAAGGGTTTTGCTAAGTGCCCCCTCTTGTCACAATGTCGAAGCCCTTGTGATGGCTCTGGGGTCCTGTGGACTGTCATAGGCCATCAAGATGTATCAGAGAAAGGGGTATGGGTTACCCGGGTTTGTAAACCAAGGGGAGGCTTAGACTGAGGGGTAGACAAAATTTTAAAAAGGGGACACAGAAATAACTTTTCACCAAAAAAAACTAACTTAAGAGAAGTTCCTTTGGCCCCTGGCCCCTTTGGTCGGGGTCAAAAGGGGGGGAAATAAAAAGCTAGAGTGGGTAAAAAAACAGCCGATTGTGAGTGGAGGAAAAAAATGGTAATTGAAGTAAATTTGTTCCCCTATGGTACTGTAAATTTTCTTTTCTTCAGAGAAAATATTGTACTGCATTTATTCACTGTGCTACCCCATGTTTTTAAAAGTTTCCCAATTGTTCATTGGCTGTTTTGGGATTACACAGGTGGGGACAGTGTCAAGTATCGACAGTTGGTAAAGAAGAAAAAACCCTGCAGGGGAGTTTTTTACTTGTCCCTTTTTACCCGGATAGAATTTTTATAAGGGTTGGGTGAGATGTTGTACGAAAAAAAGCCCCCTAATTTGTGTATTAAGAGTGTGTGCCAGACCCTCCTGTGTAATGCAGTAGTTAGTTTAAAATTTTTTTATTATGCAAAACCCCCTCCCCTTGTGGGCGGTTGTCAAAAAATTACAGGGTTTCCTTAAAGGGTCCCGGGCTGGACTCCAAGTTTTTTATAGTGAGCAAAGTTTCAGGGTAATGAATTCACAATTTTAAAAAAGGTAATGAACTCCAGGTAGGTCTGGACAAATCATGACAAGTTACAAAGGTATTTACGATTTTCAGGGTACGTAATGGGTCCAGGGATGGGCCCCCCAAAATTTTGATAGCTGAAAATAGGTACAGAGGTAATGAATTCTGTAAGAATGGTTACTTAGTTTTTAATGGTACAAACATTTAAAAATAAAAATTTTAGTGTAATGAGCAAATTTAAAATTCCACACCCGGTCACAACACACACAAAACACCCCCACCCCACACACCAAAAACACACACAAAACACAAAACACATCCCCCAAACCCCACACACTGCAGGAAAGGCCCTTTTACACAGTTCCCCACAAAAAGGGTTAGTGCAGAAGGTGGAAAGGTCAGGCCCCACGTAAAAGGAAGGGGGCCCGCCAAAGGATTAAGGGAATTCCCGACAGGGAGGGGGGAAACAACGAGTCATGGTACGTGAAGAGGTATCACCCGTTGGCGCCTGTTTCGAGCGGGGGGCCCAAAAGGGGCAGTTCTAAGGGGCCGTGCTATTTTTGATTTATGGAACGACATGATGGAAGGGAAAAGACTTGAAGTGTCCCTGTTCGGGAGATGACGTGGTTGATGAGAAGAAATTTAAAACGGAAAAAAAGGGTGGGCAGGAAAGCAAAAAGGGGGCCCGGAGAGGCTGGACTTGTGGTCCAGTAACTGGGTCCTCGAATTTTAATCCACCCCAAAGCAAAATCCCTGAAGATTTTGGGGGGGGCAAAGAAGACCAGACGATATTGGCTAGGTGGACAAAGACTACAGACCTCACTCAGGGGGGAAAAGAAACCCTTTGGGGGGACCCTAACCCCGAAACAAATAAACCGGGGGCACACATAAAACCCAAAAAACCGCCCGGCCCGATACGGGCGCCTGGGGAAACCCGAGAATTTGCGTTTTCCCATACCTTAATAAGGAAACGTTTTTAAAGACACTGTAAAAAATGTATGTTAGACCCATACGGAGTAAAGCAGCACAGTTTTGGAAAACCCACCCCCGGGCAAGCCCGTCAAGAAAATTAGAGGGGAAATACAAAAAGGGTTTTCAACCAAAGGTAGTCCCCGGCTCAAAGGGGAAAGTGTTTCGAGGAAAAAGGGTTTAAAGGGAAAACGGGAAAGACGACACTGGGGGGGACGAAGGGGGCAGGGGAGACATGATTTCCCACATAAAGATACTGCGGGGAAAAAGAAAAAGGGGGAAAGAGATTGGATGTTCCCGGGGAGGGGAAAACCCGGGACAAGGGGGGGCACAACTGGAAGCTGAAGACTCAGGCGAGTCACAGGGACGTTAGGAAGTATTTCTTCATTTATAGAGTTGGCAGCAAGGGGGAATTGCCCCAGCCCGTGAAGTAGGGAGGGAGGAAAAACCCTACATATTTTTTAAAAAGAGGTTTTTTGCAAAGCTCAAAGGAAACAGAGAAAAGAGGGGGATCCAGTAGCGATCAGTGAAGTGGCGGGGCCCGGAGCTTAGGTTGACCCTGGGAACCCCCAAATTTGGGTGGAAATACAAATTAAAGGGGGAAATTTCCCCACACAAAACCCCACACACACACACCACACCACACACACCCCCAAAACCCCAAATTTGGTGAGTACAAAACACAGACATACACACACACACACACCCCACACCACACAAAAAACACAAAACACACACCACACACCCCACACACACACAAAACACACACACACACATGAGGATGAGGATGAGGCAGGACTGCAAAGAGACCTGGACAGGGTTGACATGTGGTCCAGTAACTGGCTTCTCGAATTCAATCCTGCCAAATGCAAAGTCATGAAGTTTGGGGGAAAGGGGCAAAGAAGACCGCAGACGGGAGTATAGGCTAGGGGACAAAGACTACAGACCTCACTCGGGAGAAAGACCTCGGGGTGACCATAACACCGAGCACGTCACCGGAGGCACACATCAACCAAATAACTGCTGCAGCATACGGGCGCCTTGGAAAACCCTGAGAATAGCGTTGCGATACCTTAATAAGGATCGTTCAAGACACTTACATGTGTATGTTAGGCCATAGTGGAGTATGCAGCACCAGTCTGGAACCCCACACTTGGTCAAGCACGTCAAGAATTAGAGAAAGTAAAAAGGGTTTGCAACAAGGCTAGTCCCAGAGCTGGGGGGGGGGAATGTCGTACGAGGAAAGGTTGAGGGCAGTATGATGGGAAAATCATGCTCATGCTGTGTGTTGGGTATGACAAAAAATTCTGTTTGATGGGTGCATTAAGGTAAGTGTCTTTTGCCTTAATCTTATTAAATGTCCTACTGTACAGATAAGTGCAGCCATACAATGCAGTGTAAACCAATACTGGCTATACAAGAAAGTGTGGCACTGAAAACTGAACAGTAGTACTGCACTGTGTTAATCTGAATAATGATAGTCTTTGAAAACGATTTTGTATTAATGTGTGATATAGTGATGGTCTATTTCAGGTGACCGCGATGACTGCCGACCAGAGTACACCCAAGGAATGGAAGTCATCAATGCCAACCAGGATGAGCAAGCGGTGAGTTGAATACCTGGTGTGTCTGAGCCCCCGGCATAGGTATCGTGCCCTTAGTAAATGTTATACCCTTGGCATAACTGATTATGAAAATTTTGAAAATTTTGGGAAGATATGTGTTATGTCTGTGTTTGCAGGGAAGCTAAACACTAGTCCCGGTTCCCAACATCTTAAAGCAACTAACAGGACTAATGATGCATTTAAACCCTATGGATTTATTGTGTTTTCATATTGTTTGTGAGGTATTATATATGCAGTTCCATCTCCGAATGAATGAGTGACGATAAAAGTATTTCCTCTCATTTTGGGTCATCCTACTTCATGGCTGGTGTGTTAAAAAAATTCCACAAGTACTTATATAAAAATCATTTTAAATTTACAAGCTAGTCTATTGAATACTAGAGGGGGGGAGAAAGTTTTTTTTTTATTAAACACATCAGTTTTTTCCCCTGAGACAAGATGACCCGAAAAAGAAGAAACACTTTCATCATCATTCACTCCTGACTGTCTTGCCAGAGGGGTGCTTATGCTGCAAGTAAAAACTGCAAACTGTCAATACCCCTCCTTCAGAGTGCAGACACTGTATTTCCCACCTCCAGGACTCAAGTCCGGCTAACCAGTTTCCTGAATCCCCTTTATAAATGTTACTTTGCTCACACTCCAACAGCACGTCAAGTCATAAAAGCCATTTGTCTCTGCTCCTGTCTAACATGCTCATGCGTGCTTGTGGAAGTCCAAGCCTTTGCATACAAAATCTTCTTTCCCCCCCCCCTCCAACCTTTCCTAGGACGACCCCTACTCCACCTTCTTTCTACTACAGATTTACAATGCTAGTCATGGCATTATGCCGGGCGAGTGCCCCGGCATAATGCCGTGACGAAAATCAAAGGCCTATCGTTCGGGGGGTTCTTTTTTTGTCAGTGCATTATGCCGGGTAGTAGTCGTTAGCATGACATGACGTCACGGCCTGCTGCCACACTCCACAGTGACTCCTCAGTGCTCACATGGCTGCTATGGTGGCAGGAAGTGTTGCACTTTTGTCTCTCATCTTTTGTCTGGTGTTCCCTTTGGTTTCGAGGCTATACATGTTTGATTATGGGTAAAAGGAAGTCTTTAACACCTGAAACTAGAGCTCAAATCATAGGGCTTCACAAAGCGGGCACCAGATGAAAGAAGCAGTGGAGAATGTTGGTGTATGTGAGCATTCAGCGAGGAACTGGGTGCAGCGTTTCAAGTCTAGTGGCAGTGTCATGTTACTGTCTGCCAAACCTCGGCCTGGCCCTCGAAGAAGACATCTGTTCATACCGTAACTGTGTTTAAAGAAGTAGTTAGAGAGTACACCTCGGATAACTGCTAGATAATTGAAAGAAAAGAACCCACTCTCTCTCAGAGGTGTCTGTAAGAACTGTTAATAGATGTGTGTCAGAACTGGGCTACAGTAGTCGCCGCCAGGTTAAGAAACCGATCCTTTCCAATCCACAGAAGAAATGTAGGCTGGATTTATGCAAAGAAATATCTTCACTGGAGTCCTCAACAGTGGACTGAAATACTTTGGAGTGATGAAGCAACCTTCACCTGTAACCGTGGGGGACATGTGTACCGGCCCAAGAGGCAGTGACCTGCTAGACCCACGCTACACCTGTAGGACCACCAAACACAGACTCGCTCATGGTTTGGAGGTGTTTCAGTGCTCAAAGTGTTAGTGAACTCATTGTTCTTTCCAAAATCCAGTATATGAACCAGTATATTTACTGAAGTTATTGTGTGACAATTTATCTGAGGCGTTTGGCAAGTGTGGGGCTATGGTTTTTATGCAGGACAGCTCATTGTGTCGTACCACCAAATCTGTAGTTCAGTGGCTTAAGGACTGTGAAGTGAGATTCTTTAATGACTGGCCAGCCAATACCCCCAGACCTAAACTCTATTGAGAACCTCTGGTCAATAGTGAAATGAAGTTTACCTGGCAAGGGTATTAGTTCTATCCTGCAGCTGGAGGCTGCTCTACATGAGGCATGGATATACCTCCCAGATCCTTGTGTGAGAGTCTTCCTACATGGCTGAGGGACGTGATTAAGCATAAAGGACGCAGCACCAAGGATTAAAACCTCAGTAAGTGTGCAAATACGTATGTACGTATATTATAATCATTCATGGTATGTGTTTGTGTTTTGGTACTGTTGGGGGAGGGGGGCATAATGCCGTGACTAGCACTGTATATGCCCTCCAAGTCATTTTTTTTGTTCCATCCTCTCTAAATGACCAAACCACCTCAAACAACCTTCCTCTGCCCTCAAGATAATACTTTTAGCAATCCGCACCTCCTTCTAATCTCCAAGCTATGGATTCTTTGCATTATATTCACATGGCACATTGGCTTCAGACATGATGTCTCCACTGCCTCCAGCCTTCTACTTGTTGCAACATTCACCACCCATGCTTCACACCCATATAAGAGGATTGGTACCACTATACTCTCATACATTTCCCTCTTTGCTTGCATAGATAACATTCTTTGTCTCCACAGACTCCTCAGTGCTCCACTCACCCTTTTCCCCTCATCAATTCTATGATTCACCTCATCTTTCATAGACCCATCTGCTGACAAATCCACTCCCAAATATCTGAATACATTCATTTCCACCATATTCCCTCCAATTTGATATCCAATCTTTCATTACCTTAATTTTTTTATTATCTTCATCACCTAGTTCTTTCTTATGTTTACTTTTAATTTTTTTCTTTTACATACCCTACCAAATTTGCCCACCAACCTCTACACCTTCTTTTCAGAATCTCCCAAAAGCACAGTGTTAACAGCAAAAAGCATCTGAAACAACTCCTACTTTGTCTTAGATTCTTTAGCTCTTAATCCCACACCTCTTGCCAACACCTGAGCTGTCTGAAAATATAATGAACAACCATGGTGACATCACGCATCCCTGTCTAAGGTCTACGTATTCTAACCCAGGAGTGAGGAACCTGTGGCCTTCAACGGCATTAAGTGCGGTCTTCTGAATAAATTATTTCATTCCATTGCTCGATTGCTAGCACACTCAGCTCACACACTAAGATCCGGAGATCCAGTCCCCAGTACGGCTGGAAACCATTAGAATGTGTTTCCTTAAGACACCTACTGTTCATGTTCACCCATCAGTATAATATGTAGGTACCTGGGTGTTAGTCAACTGGTGTGGGTCATGTGGAAAATACTGTATATATTTTCCAGAAATTCAGTATTTATATGTAAATAGATGGCCATACTGTATTTAATGATATTTATGTCATAGAAAACGGAAAGCCTGCGTCTGTGCAGACGAGACTCGCCATCTTGGTTTTGAATTTTGTACAAACATTGGTGTAATGGGAAGAATTTTTCGTGCTCTAGAGGTTAAAATTGTGTTGACACCTCTCAAATAGGAGGCGAAATTGGTGGATGTGCATTCCTGCATAACTTGAGATATCAGACGACTGGACAAGACAGCTCCAGGAACCTCAGATAAGCTCTCTAGATTTGTGTATGATACACATTAATCTCCAGTCAAATTGGTGAGTGATATTAAGATATATTTTCCTTCTGTTATGTAATTGTGTATATATATTACTTTTTATTATTTTTAATATACAGTCCACAAATTTATATATTTACCAGTATTCCTGGTGTATGTATATTTCATTTAATTAATAGGTCCAGAGCAACTTGTGGTTATGACAGTGGTAGGTATCGAAGGGGGACATTTTTTTGCGACCTAGGTGTCCCAAATTCCTACTTGTCTAACTGATAATAATTATCTATGTTCATTTACTGTTATGTATATAATGATACATCCAAGTAAATGCAATTTTCCACATTTAATTGCCTGTTGGTCCTTCTTGAACCGGAGGTAATTAGTGAAGTCATTAATTAGTTAATTACTTAATAATTATATGTGAAATTACAGAAGGAGGTGGATGTTAAGTTCACAAATTTACTTAATGTGTAGTGGATTATAATTATTACAATATTAATTTGGATAAGTCAAGTGTGGCTAAAGATTATATTAATATGTATAAGTGTATGTGTAATTGATAAGCCAAGTGTAGCTTATTAATTTGTATAATATTAATTTGCTATGCCAAATTCTGGCAAGGATTTATTAATTTGTATAATATTAAATTTGATGAGCCAAGTTTGTATTAATGTACATTTAAAATTTATATTATACATGTAATTGCTAAGCTCAAGTAGCTAGGATTTATTCAAAGGTAAGTTGTATCAGTGTTGTAAGTTGTAATCAGTGTTATTAATTGAGTTGAATTTAATACATTGCATCATGGCTGAAAATGAGGAAATTAATATAGAAGACAAACATATGGAATATAGAGTAAAGAAAGCATCAATACAGGCTAGAAAAGTTCATGTAACCAAGGCATATAATAAGTGCTTGGAATTAATGAATCAAGAAACTGTGAATACTGATGATTTAAAATTGTATTTAGATGCTTTAGGGAATAGATATGATACATACAAATTATATTACAACAAATATGAAGGAGATTTATTAGTAAACTGTGTAGATGAGACTGAAATAGATCTCATGATTAATCAGTATTATGAATTAGAGGAAAAGATTCTTTCTTGTAAAAGTCAGGCCTTGAATAAATTAAAATGTGTAAACCAGGCAGTTGGTCAGTCTGCTCCAACAAATAATACAGTGGACCCCCGCATAGCGAACGCCTTGCATAGCGAACAATCCGCATAGCGAACGCTTTGTTCGCCAAAATTTTGCCCCGCATAGTGGACAAAAACCCGCTCAGCGACCTTCGTCCGAGACGCGTCCAATGTGCGGCCTCAGCCAGCCTCACATGTGCCGCCCGTCCCATTGTTTACCAGCCAGCCTCCGCGGTAACATTCAAGCATACACTCGGAATATTTCGTATTATTACAGTGTTTTCGGTGCTGTTTCTGGAAAATAAGTGACCATGGGCCCCAAGAAAGCTTCTAGTGCCAAACCCTGTGGTAAAAA